GGTTTGATAAGGCTTATAGGTCTAGTGTTGGCCAGGTTGCTATCAAAGATTGGTTTTTTAGATATAAAATAGATTCTTCCTTCTTTCCATTATTTTTGAATTGTTTGAGAAGAAAGATATCAGTTAAGGAGAGAAGTTATTTCTTTAATGAAGCTGGAACCTGCATGTTTAAACATTTTATAGCTTATTCCAGAGGGTTCACAGGCTTTGTTATTAGGCATCTGGCTAAGAGTAGTAAGTATCTCCTCTTGAGAAAAGTCTGTAAGTGCTTCTGAGTACCAGTTTTGCTAAATGTATGGTTTAGGGTTGTATTCTGTTTGCCAGTGTGAGTTGAATATATCTTGGTCGATTGTATGCAAAGCAGTCCAGTTACTTGTATTTATATTGGGCATTTGTAAGGTATTAGTGAGGAGCTTTGTCTTGCCCTTTACCTTTGGTTTAACTAGAGTATAATTTAGAAGCACATTGCCATCCAGCACTCAATTGTTTCAAATTTTTCTTGCATCATTGCTAAGATTTTTCCTACTTTGTTACTCCGTCTTTTTAACTTCAACTTGTTTTTCTTTTCTATTTCCCAGCACTTCTCTATTTGAATATGTTGCTACTATCTCTTTTGAGTGCTTTTGTTCATATGATCTGATGTTTTTTAAATTTCTGAGGGTTTTTCTAGTATTACTATATAATCTGGAGCTCTTGCTATCTCTATAGTTATATCTGACATTACTAGAATTACTTGAAGTACTTCTTGTTCTTTTTGTTTTGAATCCTTGGTTGCAATATTTCTTTTGTTGCTTTGAATACCAGTTATAACCTTCTTTACTGGACTCTTTTCCTAAAAATCTATTCTGATTTTCCTTGTTAGATACGCTTCTGAATACCTCGTAATTCTTTACACTATTCTACTTTATTTTATTATTATAATAATATGGCGTTGCAGTTTCAGCTAGCTGTAAGTCTTTTAATAAAGCAAAATATACGTATGCTATGCCTCTTTGATTATCATTACTATAATTAGAAATCCAGACCATTTTTGCTTAAAATCTTTGTAATTGACGAAAAAGAGCTACTTCACATACAAGGTATGGTACTTGTTTTAATATTAATCTGAACTCTTTTTTACCCTCTAATTTATTTGTGTCAAACTTTTTAGTAACAGCCTACTTGTTTTTCCTTCCTCAAATAGTAAAGCCCAAGCCTTTTCTAATAATTGCTTTTTCTCCTTATTTATGCATATAACTTTTATATATACAGCTTTGGAGTTTTTTAGCTCTTGCCACTTAAGTACTTCTGATATACTATGATATTTTAGATATCTATTAATTCTAGCAGCATTTGTCAAAGATGGCAGATCCCAGATAGTCATATGTATTTTGAGTTCTTCTTTCTTTTGGTCATGTTTTTCTTTATCATTTACTACTGATATGTTTTATGCCAGCTTGTTTTCTGGTGCCCAGATCAAGCTATGAATATCTTTTTCTTTTTTGATGTCTATCATCTTATTTTTTACACTCAACAACTCTTTCTTTTTGAGTAGAAAGACCCACTCACTGACCATCTTGGTGCTATGATCTACCTGTTCACACTCTGTATATAGTAGTGTTGCTTTTTTTTCTACATTTGGTGTATTATCTTCTTTGAGCGTATCTATTTCACTCTCATTTAAGTTTATCTCTGCTAGTCTGGTTCTAACCTTCTCTTCTTCTTTAACTTCAATCTTTGTCATATTGTCATCTTTTTCTTTTTTTCTCTTTAATTTTTCTGTTGTTTGGATAGTTTTATCCTCTAAGAAGTCTATTGACATCTTTACATGACTATTTTGGTTGTTTTGGGCTTGTGTCTTTTTTTCTAATTTTGTACGAGTTGAAATTTCTGTTACTTCTCCAAGAAAGATGAGTTCTTCTGTTGAGAGAGTTTTGTCTTGATTTTTTTTCACTTGTAACCAATTATAGCTATCTATTGCATTTTGCATTGTTGTAACAAATTCTGGGTTTTTAAATCCTAAGTAGTTTGTTATGTTTATATCTGCTTTAAGCATAATCCTTCTTTGCTCAGTATAAATTTCTTGCACCCTTTCTTGTGATGCTATTGCCAAGTCTTTAATTAACTCTACTTTTATAATTTTATCTATTTGTCAATTTATATTTGTTAGAATAGTTTCTTTTTGAGTTTATCTATATTGTTAGACTAGTTTCTGAGCTATATTTCTCTTATGTTCCTGCAAGTTAAATTAATTTTGTTGTACTTTGCTAATATTTTGTACTATCAAAGTTGCAGTAATTTCATTCTAGTTTTCTAGAATATTCGAGACACATAATGTGTTTGTTGTTTGTTTGTTATATTGTATTTACCTAATTTGGCTGTTTGTTGTATTTATTTGGTTATGTGTTTGTTTACTTCCAAAAGTGTTTGTTTGTTTGTGCCAAGTAATCTCCATTACAGGGTAAACAGTAATCCCCCAAAATTTCAAATTTCTCTAAAAATTTTTTCAAAAATTTAGTTTTTTGAATGTAGCTAAAGCCAGTGTCTTGCATGAGCAGAGATTTTCTAAGTAACTAGTGCTAATTTTCTTTTGTCCTTCATTTTTCTTAGGACTATTTTTGTTGTTTTCTTAGTACAGTTGTCTTTTTTCAGAAGTAATTTTGCTCTGGTTTTGGTTACAGTGATCTAAAAAAAACTAACTATTTTTAAACTATCATATGAAAACAGGTTTTATTAAACTATTTTAAAAATCTATTATTTATTTTTTTTAACTATTCTAAATCAAAAGTTAGATCTAAAATAATTTAAAATTTTAATTTTTTTTTTTATTTTCTTATAAATTTTTATACAATATAGCCTTTTCCCAGCTGTACTAAATTAAGTACAGCAAAATTTGTGCAAAATTCAAAAAAGCTTAAATATATTTATGCAAAATTTTTATTCATAAGTACTTCTAAAATTTGAAATAATAAATGTATTATATTTTAGCAAAATTTCAAATAAAATTATTAGTTTGCCATTATAAAATAATTTTTTCAATTTGTACTAAATTTAGTACAAAGTGCTAACGGATACCCATTAATATATACATTTCTGTTGATACTATCATATCCCAAAAAGATACATACAACACAAACTTCAAAATTAGAAGTTCATTCTTCTTATTATATTAATTATATATATATTATATAAATTTTTTACTACACCCCCAAAACTGGGTCGATATAAATTAAAGATCTTAAATTCTGGAATTTGAACTGAATCAGCAGCAATAACTTTATCAACAAATATACTGTATACTCAATAAATATATAGACATGAGATTAAGCCCATCACACTAGTAGTTAACAATGTTATATAAAAAATTTTTATATTGGTATAAAACGGATTTTTTAACCAAACCGGAATGAAATCAAACCGGAATTTTTCCGGGTCCCTGACAGTATAGTTCCAAAATAAGCACCCTTTTTTGCATGTAATGCTGGCCGAGATCATTATAATGCAGCCCAAAATTGGCATAGTGCGGGCCAAGGTTGCTTATTTTCGGGGGGTGCTTATTTTCCGATAAATTAATTGCAAATTTGTAATCTGACTCATTTAAAAGATCATACTAAAGCTGTTAGGATCTCAGTACATTAGCGATATTAAATTCTTTTCTAAAGTTTAGCATAGGAAATGTCTTATTCTGTCCATCACCAACCTGATAATAGGGCTTATTACTTAAATCTCACTTTATTCGATTGTTTTTTACTGAATAACTGAAATCACGTATCAGTCACTTTTTTTCGCCAAGGTTTCAACAAAGGAGTTACGAAGATCAAGTATGACTTACCAGATCAGTATAGTATGGAGTATGCCGAATTTTAAAATCGTACAATACTGGTGTTATATATAGCGTTAGGGTTAGCAATTATGGTATTGTTTTACAATTTCGATCCATACCAGACTGATTCGGGCCATTCGTATCATACTAATCTTCTACAATCCCTTCGAGCAGGATATGCATAATAAGCATGTTACACATAAATTTCATGAAATTCAATACAACATCCTACCATTGGACCGTTATTATATTTTTTTGTAATACAAACACCTGCACAGACATAATCATTACCTACGTACGTACATACGTACGAGGTTTCAGAAAATGCAGAGTCAAATCCTCTACAGATTACTTCAATAATTATGTGATCATTTTAATAATTTTAAATTTACTTTTCTTTAATCGTTATGTCAGTATTACATAATAGTACCATTTAAAACATGTTTTATTTGTCTAATTGCATTGCATATTTCATACTAATTTTTACATAATTTATGCGACATTTAATTTTAATTCAAATATATAACAAGAATTCTTGACTCAAAATATAAATTGAATTAATTCTATATATTTTAAATATTTAATTTTCAAACGGAGTTAAATCCTTTTTCGTAAGCAAAATGGATGAACTCACAAATTGAAATTTTTTTTTATTAGAGTGATTTTGACAATGGCACAAATGGAATTGCATTAATTTTCTATCTTTTAAAGGTAACTGATGGAAGTACTAGAGGGGTCGAACTTTAATGAAATTATCAAAAACTATAAATGGTATTGAGTAACATTGTGGCATCTAAATTTATACAGTAACGGAGACCTAAATTTAGTGCAACATTTTGTACACACAAGAGGGTGAATAGAAATTCGAATATGCAATATTTTTGTGGTAAAAAAAAATTGATGCACGTACATACGTGCGTGCGTGCGTGTATCAACTATACGGAGGATTAAGTTGCTAAATTTTCAATTCTAATGCACATATTCGGCATTATGCAGGATTGTCTGTATTATGCAAATTGTCCCGAATAAATAAAACAACGAAGACTATATTAACAATTCTGCGCATATGCCCACTCTTAATCAACTTAAAATATTTGTATCAGATAACCATTCAGCAATTATACGTATAACCTGTGATCTGAAAACAAAATTTATATATAAATGGAATAAATTTAGCTTAGTCCAACTAATTATAAAAATGATCTTTAAATCTAAATATCCCGATGTAACAATTCCTCAAGTCGGAATTTATCAATATGTGATTAGTAATCCGAAAAAAATTTCGGACGATAAAGTTATTTACGTGGATGGTATTACTGGTAAAAGTATTACTTACGGAGAATTTAAACATGAATCAAAAAAGTTTGCTGCAGGATTGCAAGATAAGTTAGATTTTAAACGTGGAGATGTATTGGCGATATTTTCACCTAATCAGGTACTCATTAATCTCTTTCATTAATTAAGTCGTTATTTTCTTTCAATTAATGATATATTTATTTTGTCAAGGTTGATTATCCTATTGTACTCTTGGGAGCGATTGCAGCAGGTATTATATAACTTTCATATAAATTAATAATACTATTATTGTTTTTCAATTTGTCATAAATTTATACATTTGTAGGAGGAAAAGTAACGACTGCTAATCCAAAATACAAAGTAACTGAATTATCGTATCAATTAATCGATTCGGGTGCATCAGTTCTTATTGCGCATCCAGATTTTCTTGAAGTTGCTATTGAAGCTTCAATCGAAGCAAAAATACCCACATCTAGAGTATTACTGTTTGGTGATGAAGAAATAGAGGAATATAAACCTTATCGCTCTATTTTAATTAATGATCGTGAAATCGAGCCGGTTTCTTATACTCCTGAAGAAGCAAAAACAACAACTGCTTATCTACCTTATAGTTCTGGAACAATTGGAAAGCAAAAAGGTGTCGAAATTACTCACACAAACATAGCTGTTAATTTGGCTCAGTTAGCTAGCGCAGATTGTAAACTTGGTCCCCACAGTATAATTATGGGAATTTTAGTATGTCATATAAAGGATTCTTTTGAGATCTTTAAATAATTTATTCAGAATAATCATTAATCATTGCTTTAAAAATAGCCATTTTTCCACATTTATGCGTTAACAGCCCTTATTCATGCGCCTTTAACTCATGTAAGTTTTCATATTATTTGATACTGCTTCATCACTAAACTAGAAAATTTATCTAAGAATTATACGTATGTTAAAATTATAGGGTGCTACTGCAGTCATTCTTTCAAGTTTCAATGTAAAAACATTTTGTGAATCAATTCAAAAATATAAAATTAACCATATTTATGCAGTTCCGCCAATTATACTTAAACTTATCGATGATCCATTGGTTCAAGAATTTGATTTATCAAGTGTGAATAAAATAATAAGTGCTGCAGCACCATTAAGTGATAAATTGGAAAAAAAATTTTATGAAATGTTTAAAATACAAATTTATCAAGCTTATGGTAAGAATTTTTATTGTTAGGTCGTTTGAAATAGCGACTCTCATTATGAATATTCTTATTATAAAAAAATTAATTTTTTTTTTCTTTCAGTACAAATACAATATTGATAATAATTAACTTTTAATTATTTATATGATATAATAATAAAGGTCTTACTGAAACGTCTCCGCTACTACTTCATTCTGATACAACAAAGGATGCAGTTCCAGGTATTATCAATAAACGGTATGTTTGCTATTGTATATTTCATAGTTTGCTAAGCGATACATTTTTAATAGGATCTATTGGTATTCTTGCTCCAAATTTGAAAGCCAAAATATTGTCAGAAGATGGTCACGGTAACTATAAATATTTGTAACTGTTTCTCATTTAAAATAAAAATAAAAATTTATCATTTTAAATCTTAGAATTGGGGTACAATGAACCCGGAGAATTGTGGGTTCATGGACCAAATGTTATGAAGGTACGTAAGTAGTGTGGTGGAACTATTTTAACGATTTACTAGATATGTATCATTTAATTATACTCTGTATTTGTACTTGTACTAAAAATCTTGTACTTTTTGAATAGGGTTATCTTAATAATAAAGAAGCTACAGCTAATGTCATTGACAAAGACGGATTTTTAAATACTGGGGATATTGTATCTGTTGACGAGCAAGGTATATTTATTACTAAATAAAAATTTATATTTGTATGTTTATATTAATTATAAATTTGATTTTTCATAAAGGAAACTTTTTTGTTGTTGATCGAAGAAAAGAATTAATAAAATACAAAGTAGGTACAGTATATACAACTATAAATAACAATTATTACTTTCAGATTATTATGTTGTTGAATTTATGCTAACCAAAATTAACTTTTACAGGGATTTCAAGTGGCACCTGCTGAACTGGAAGCAGTTTTGCTCACACATGATGCAGTTTCTGATGCAGCGGTAATAGGATATTATTATGAAGAAGAAGCAACCGAAATTCCTATAGCGTATGTCTCAATTAAAAGTGGTTATGAGCAATCTCAAGCTTTAGCGAGGGAAATTCAATCTTTTGTAGATGGAAAAGTTGCACAGCATAAAAAATTAAGAGGTGGTATATTGTTTATTGACAGAATTCCAAAAAGTGAGTCTGGCAAAATTCTAAGAAGATTATTAAGAGAGAAGTTAAAGAATGATAGAATGAATTAATTTAATGAATTAATTTAATAAATCTTTTTAAATTTTCAAAGACGAATTATTTATGAAATCATAAATTACACTTCATTAATTTTTTTATATTTCTTATCCTCTTATTTAGTATTATGTAATATCTGTTCAATTGATCATATAATAAAATTAATGTTTAATATCGTATTTATTCCGAGAAAAATCTCGCATTTCAGATATATTAAAATTAATATTCGAGTAAAAAAATTCAGTCAAATTCTAAAGAATAAGCCCATTATTTCATCTATACTTTTACAATTATATCTAATACAGTACCAGGAACTTTGTTTAATAAGGTAGCTATTAGATGTTGTCACGGAACTGAGAACAACGTATTTTACAAGAATTTAAAGTACAGCATTCATTTTATATAATTCATGACAATGTTTAACAATTCATAATCCAGTAATTACTAAACGATAAAAAAAAAACAAGTTTCCGAAACGATTTTAATTAATCGATATTTAAATATGTAAATAATTCAAATGTTTAAATTCATGTCTCGTAAATTTCTTCTAAAATTGTCAGTAATAAAATATCGATATATGCTAAGAGGTGTAATTATTATAAGGTCAAATATACATTGGGAGCAAATTTTAATAAAAAAAAAAACAAAAAATTTACTTTGCTTCACTTATTTGTTCCTAAATTCGGAAGATACATCTTAGAAAATGCAGAAATATAAATATTTACTTACGAAAAAATAGGCAAACGAATCTAAAAATAATGAATAAAATCCAGCGTACGCACGTATTGCGCAGGAAGCCTAAAAACCTCAATCACTTTATATGAAATAAACACACTGGAGATAGGCTAAAATTAGTAGCGGCTTATTTGCAGGTAAAATAGTTACTATTAGGTATTGTCATATTATTTCTAGGATGCATCGTTCCTGAAAAAGACGGACCTTGTAAATTATAACTGTGGTAACACCCAATCAAATTTCTTGATCAGGTGTAGCGTAGATCATATGATGTTTGTTTACATCTGACAGTAAGTAATTACGTCATTTTTGGCCCTTCATTTCCACTATCTGAAAAAGAGTCGTTTATTATGGCAAATACTTATGATATCAACTTTCTCAATGCGATGTTTACGGCTATAATGCCGGGTTACACCTTTGTATCAGAAAAAGAATATTATGAGAGAAAAAATTCACTTATTCAACAAGAAGGAAACACCTATAAGCCCATTGATATATATACTTTTCATCAGTGCACAACTGTTGATAAAATTAATAAAATTAAAGAAATTGAGAAAAATGACCGAAATACTATGCAAATTTTTATAAAAATTCTTACCGGGGAAAGCATTACACTTGGTTGCAATGAGAGTGACACTATTGATCAGGTGAAGAAAAAAATTCAAGACAAGGAAGGCATCCCATCTGATCAACAACGACTTATTTTTGCCAGTATGCCGTTGGAAGGAGAGAAAACACTTTTTTACTATGGTGTTATAAAAGGATGTACATTACATTTAGTTTCAAATCTTGGTGGTGGTGGAAATATAATTAGTCATTTGAATGCTGATTTTTTAGACCCACGTTACAATTATGACTTTTCGAATGTTAATGATAAATATAAGAAATTTATCCGCGGAGGAGTTGAGTATCGAAGACCATGTGGATGGAAACGTATTGCCTTAAAAGTTGCTGGAAAATATGATAATGGTAGTAATGAATGGCTTGGTACTGATATAAATGCTTGACCAGTATCGTATCATGGTACTAATAAAGATAGCGCAAAATCAATCACTGAGGAAGGATATTCATTAAGTAAAGAAAAGAGATATCTTTATGGACATGGTATTTATTCAAGCCCTGAATTGAATGTTGCTAAATCATATGCCAAAAAATTTGAGCATGAAGGAGATGAATATTTAGTAGTAATTCAGAATCGAGTGAATCCTAAGTGTTTGAAGATAGTCAATAATGGTAAATATTGGCTTACCGAGGGGGATAAAAACACTAGGCCATATGGAGTTTGTTTCAAAAAAAAATGAATCACTACACTTTGCTCTTAAAAAGGTAATTAACTGTATCTATTGATATCGCAATAATAGACGAATATATGAATAAATTTACGAACTTAAAGATTTAACTATTCAATTGGTTTTCATATATTATTAACACTGCTTTTTATGATATAAAAAGTAATATAAAGCAATTTATTATTCAATTAGACCAACCGAATTATAATTAAGCAATATTATACATGTATATGCGAAATCGGCTAAGAATAGTTTTGGAAGTTAAGCAGTATATTTATAAACTTGACAATATTGGTATAAAATGGTTTTGCAAATTAAATGCATTTTATCATCATTAGTATTCATGCAAAAAATTTTTACAAATTGGTTTATATTAAAAATAATAATTTGAAAAGTAACTTTTTTGCCAAGATCTTGGTAGCTTTTTCCCTATCAATGCTTATTTGATTACGCGAAGATTTAAAGTGTTTAAACTATTATTATTTTTTTTCAGAGTCTTTATTACTCTATTACCATTCCTCGTTAAGAACAAATAATGTCAATGTGTTATTTCTGTAAAACTGCAAAATTTTTCCTTCTCTAAAATTAAATTTATTTAAAACAAGGCCTCTATAATAGTATAGCCTATTTTATTACCAGTTGATTAAACAAAGGGTTTAAGCCAGATAAAAAAGTGTTTTGAAAAGAGCTTCCACTGATGCCTTTGTAGCCTCGAAACCAATTTGAAATTTTAGAAGATCTAATGGAATTAGAATACCATTAATACAAAGAGTTTGATTAAAACTAAGTTTTAAAGAAATTAAAGTAAAATATTACTGAAACGCCTGCAATTGTTTTTTTATCTTGGAAACCTACCACACTTAAATTGGATGGGAGCCCTAATTCTTCCCCCCAGTTGTGATTAGGTACATGAAATCTCATTAATGCTGCAAAATTGAAAATATCGTGTTTATTTCAATAAAAAAAAGATTAAAATAAAAAAATAAAATAAAATTTATTAAGTAAAAGTTTCCTTGATTACAGATTATATAAATGTGTGTCTTTAATAATATTTGCTTGTAAATTATACAGTTTAAATTTTATTTTGATATAATTATTAATGCAAAAAAATAGTACATTGAATTACATATAACGTTTCTAATGATTAATTTCGCTTTGGCATTATTCTTGTGTAATCTAGTTCTAGTCCGGACTTTTTACAATTTAATCAATGATAACTATATGGTTTAAGAGAAATTAAGGAGTTTTGAATAATAAAAAAAGCATGTATTGAATGCTTAACCTGTATAAAGTAAAGGGAAAATGGAAACATAAAGAGCAGGATATGGATGATGTTCGTGAAATGAAAGAGAATGCCGTAGATCGCAAACAAAATCTAAAAACTTATGGATAATACCGAAGAAGAAGTCGCATTAATGGATTTTAATTATAAGTTTTTCAGATTTAACTAACAACTAAGAAAACAACATCAATGTTTTACAAACTTAATAGCAAGCTCTGCGAAAAAGTGATGAATACTCTATGTTCCTCACATTTTTAAAAATGTGAGAAATTTCTTCTATCGCTTGATAATACAACTTCCAATATCAATTAATTCAAGTTCTTGACAACGATAATATTCTGAAGGCAACGAATCAAATAAAGATAAAATCGACATAGATTTAACTTACAGAGTCTTGAACAACCCACTTACCCACCTATTACACTAACTTCCTCTTCTACAAATGAAGAACTATGGTCAGAAATTAAATTACTTAATAATAGAGTTGAATATTTGGAATCAGAACTGGAACTCTATAAAAATCCTGGTACCAGTCCTTTGCGGCTGGTGCTTAAGTACCCCTTGCAGCATCGTTCAAATCAAACTAATCATTATTCAAATCAAACTGAAGAACCAGAGGCAGATGAAAGACAGGCAAAAAATCAGCAGCCAAGAAAAAAGCGAAAAACTATGCCTTTTTCTCGGCTTCTTACTGATGAACGTTTGTTGTAAGAAGTGGAGAACAAGCAGAAAAAATAGCCAATGAAAAGAAGCAAAAAAAAGAGTTAGTCACCCAATGACGAGTAGCACAGAAAACTGAGAAGGTGCAAAAACAAGAAATTCGTAAGCAAAAAAAGGAAGAAAAAGAGCGTAAAAAAGTGGAACAACAACGTATTAGAGAAGAAAACCAGGTTAAAAAAAAAAGTGTGCAAAGAAAAGTGGTACTACCTGATTATATGTCTTGCGCCATAATTGGTCATTATCTTGACGATCACAATTTCCAGTATAAGGTTTTTGTACTTAGACAAAATTTTTTTTTTAATAAAAAAATTTGATTTTTAAACAAAAAAAAAAACTTATTTAAAGTTAAAATAAACTTACTTTGTTAAAATTCGACAAATATTTAAGTCAATTTAATAAAATTGTCCTATTGGCATATTTAACTACGCTATAATACCCATATCTACCTTATTATTAGAAAATAAAATTTAAAATCGTAAAACTTTATACTTACGGTCTAATAATTTAATAGAATTGATCTATATTATTAGAAAAGCAAATTTAAAATCGTATATGATATTTTTAAAGTCAACACTTACTCACTAGTAATATAATGAAGAGTATAAATATGTAAATAGAGAATTATTGTAAACGATAATTCTAGAAACGATGTTTACACATACGTGCTAGCAGCCAAAGTTTAGAATAAATATTTATTATTAGAAAAGTAAAATTTAAAATCATATAAACATTTTAGAACCTATACTTACTTTCTAGTAATTTAATAGAATTAATAGAAAAGTAAAATTTAAAATCGGATAAACATTTTTAGAACTCTATACTTACACTCTAGTAATTTAATAGAATTATTAGAAAAGTAAAATTTAAAACTATATAAACATTTTTTAAAATACTGTACTTACAATCTAGTAATTTAATGGAATAAATAAATATTATTAGAAAAGTAAATATCAGAGATGATCTTTTTAAAAGTCTATACTTACCGTCTAATAATTTAATAGAAAAATGTAAATATGTTAATAAATCGTAAAGTAATAATTCTAAAAACAATATTTATACATACTCGCTAACAGCCTGATATTTAAAAATTTAGAAATAAATATGTATTATTAGAAAAGTAAAGTTTAAATCATATATGATATTTTTCATAGAAGAGTATAAATATGTTAATAGAGAATTATCATAAGCTTGTAATTCTAGAAAAGATGTTTATACATACATGCTAGCAGCCTAATATTTAAAGTTCGGAAATAAATATGTATTATTAGAAAAGTAAAACTTTAATCATATATGATATTTTAATAGAAGAGTATAAGTATATAATAGAGAATTTTCATGAAATGATAATTCCAGAAACAATGTATATACATACCCACTAACAGCCCAATATTTAAAGTTCAGAAATAAATATGTATTATTAGAAAAATAAATTTTAAAATCGTATATGATAATTTAATAAAGAGTATAAATATGTTAATAGAGAAGATGCTTATAAATGTTTATACTTACTGTCTAATAATTTAATATAAGAATGTAAATATGATAATATATCGTAAAGTGATAATTCTAGAACTGATGTTTATACATACTCGCTAACAACCCAATATTTAAAAATTCAGAAATAAATATGTATTATTAGAAAAGTAAAATTCAAATTGTATATGATATTTTTAATAGAACTGTAAAATACTATATGTTAATAGAGAATTATCGATTCTAGAAATATATGCACTAATAGTCCAATATTTAAAAGAAATATGTATTATTAGAAAAGTAAAATTCAAAATCATATATGATGTTTTTAATAGAACAGTAAAATATGTTAATAAAGAATTATCAATTTTAGAAACGATGTTTATATATACGCACTAATTGCCAAATATTTAAAAGTTTAAATAAATATGTATTATTAGAAAAGTAAAGTTCAAAATCATATAACAATTTTTAGAATGGTCTAATAAATTCTTGATATCTGGCATGATGTGACAGATACATGGGTATTTGATAGGATGATAGCAACGCACATGGCCAAAGGCCACATGCTTTTGCTATCATCCTGTCGAATACCCATGTATCTGTCACATCATGCCAGATAACAAGTTTATCCGTCAGGTATGATGTATACACTAATGGAACAATATTACTGTCTTCCTCCTCTATAATCACGCAGTTCGTATCATGTAAATTGTGTGATTGTATAAAGGTTTTTACTATGATGTGCTTATAAAGAAGTATTTTTTTATAAGTTTATTAGTAAAATGTTGCAGGCATTGGCGTGATTATAAAAAGGGTTTTACTATAATGTAATTATATAGGAGGTGATTATATAGGAGGAAGACAGTATTGCCAAAAATTTTGTAATCAATTAGTTGTCAACTTTTCAATTATTCAATTTTTATTTGATTTTAATATAAGTTGCTAAAAATTTTTCAATTGATTAGTTGTCAACTTTTCAATTAGTTGCAATTTTTAATTTGTAACATTACATATATATTATACATTATTTTTACAAGAATTTTTGGTACATCTTTGGTAACTTTTTTCTAACTAGTACCTGTTATGCTGTTATTACCAAGTTTATATTTCAAGCTACCTTTTAAGGTACTGCCATAATCTGATCAGTATCTCAAGCTACAATCTTCCTAATTAGTTATCCTCTACTATATATATTCTAGGGTTTTTTTTCTGTAGTGTTTTAGTTCCTAAAAGCTATATTAACCACCTTGAGTAAGACATACCAAGTTTTACAGTCTGATATAGTTGTATTTAACCTCTATTTATCTTACTATTGGTTATTATATTCCATAATATTTGCTTATCCTGACTTTGAGTACCTTCAGATCATTGAATAGTAGAGTATGCCTATTTGCTAGATGTTATATATTTCACATATATATCTATCTAGACTTTAGTAATCTACTTTATAGCTCTACTAGGACTCTAGAAATTTTAAAGTAGGTAGTATAGCAAAAGAGAGTAGATTTTTTGGGCCAAATATGTCTAAATTCTGGTCAAAATCAATTTTTAATTTTGACCAGAATTAAGACAAATTCGGCCCAAAATCTACACTCTTTTGTCCTATCACCTATTTTAAAATTATTTAAAGTCCTGCTCTACCCATACACTAGAGGTTAGGGAGAACTCCAAAGATCTCTAATACAACTTAAATCTAATTTTGTATAAAGTTTGTATAATTTTAGCCAAATAGATATATAAAATAGAGCAAAATTTAAAAATTTACTATATAAAATGCAATATTTGATGAATTTTTATACAAAATTTTTTTTTTAGGGGTTGTTTAAATCCAGGTCTATTACAAAATTGTTTGATGATCATTGATCATCAGGTAATTATAGAATTTTTTTTTTTTTTATAAATTCAGCAATTATACCAAAACTTTATTAGATATAACGCACTTGACTATACTATCTCATATGACTGTTTAAAACTGAAACACTGGCTCTGAACATTTAAAATTACAAGTTTTAACTGGCCTAGTTACTTAAAAAGCACTTATTCCTGACCTGCTATAGTAGTTTTCACCTTTTTACATACTCTTTCTGCAATTGAAAAAATATATCTCTTAATTTGTATTGCAGGCAAATTTGTCTGCAAACTTTTTAAAATTTTAATTTTCTTAATAAAATTCTAAATATTGATTTTAGCTATATATTTTCTAAGTAAAATATTTAATTTTAGATTTGTTTTATAAACTTTGTTAAGAAA